ACAGACAGACAGACAGACAGACAGACAAACAGACAGACAGACAGACAGACAGACAGACAGACAGACAGACAGAAGGTGAAAGAGGGAGGAATTATTATCTATGTTATATTAAGGGAACATCAATAAATGTGAATTCCCGTAAACCATAAAACCAGCAATCTGAAGACGAGAAGTCTCATGGCAGCAACACGTTTAGAACAAACAGCACTGACCAAATTTCCCGTCTTCCAGCGAAGCTAAGTTCTGTTCTAATGCTTTCCTAGTGGGGTTGGACGATCGACTGTAGTGGAATTCCTTGAAAGTAAAACAAGAAAAGGGTGTTAGTAAGTTGGTGGGGGGGGGGGGGGGGGGTGTTAAGATGGAACGAACTCCAGAAGACAATTAACGGTTAGTGTTTGTAGGCATCAGATTGCGCTTACATTTCTGACAGGCATGCAGACAGGCAGGCAGACAGACAGACAGACAGACAGGCAGACAGTCAGACACATACAGACAGGCAGACAGACAGATAAAGTCATTTCAATTTGAATTGGTTTCCTCTTCGTTAGTGGGCCGCTTCTATTGCCGAGTGTGCCTCGGCGATGCCGTTCCAGATTATGATAATAAAAATTGTAAAGATAAAATACGATGTAAAAAATCAAACCGTGTAAGCAAACAAGCTTACACAGCGATCCTATGCCAACGACTGTGAGATTCACACGCCCAAGGTTCCCACGCACTGTGAGGCTCATACACTTGAAGACTACGGGGAAAAACGACTATAGTCACAAACTGAAAATCGTGATGGTACCAATTTTGAACGTTTGTTGACTCATAACTGTAATTGTGTTCTACAGTTAGTTGATTATTGTTGTTAGATTTCCAATTCAACAACACTTAACAATAAGCCACCAGTCCAACAAATATGAAGATGAGTCCACAAGTTTTTTTAAAAATTGGCACCCTCACGATTTTCAGTTTTTGAACTACAGTCGTTTTTTCCCTGTAGTCTTCACTTGAATTATAATATTCTAGACTGTGCAGTCGTATATAAACCCGGTTCACTTTGAAGAGCACTTTTTTTTTCTTTTTTTTTCTTTTTTTGGGGGGTATGTGTTTTACGACGCTGGCAAATGCGTATGAGTAGGTAGAAAATTTTGAATTTTGCCCGGGTGGCGGCCGAAAACTATTTTTATCGATTTCAGACCACCAAAGGATCTTTAACATGCGCAACGTGCACATGGAACCTCCAAGATTTTTTGCCCTTGTCCCAGAAGGCTTGGTGTAGATCTTTCCTACCAGATGATCAGAGGTGTGGCTGAAAGACAGCAGTAAGAAGGAGTCTTGGAGTAGCAGTAGAGCGGCTGCAGAAAGAGTCAGAAGCCCAAAGTAGGGGGGAAAGAAGGTGAGGGGGTGGGGCAGAAAGTGGAGACGAAAGCAGACGACAGATCACTCCAAGAGATCAGGAAAAGAGGTGAAAGGAGACAATGTTACAGAGATGAACATTTTTCCGTCGCTACCCGGATTCCAACCCGGAACCTTTGAATGGGAGGAGAACACTTTAACCTCTATGCCACGAGAGCCCTCTGAGTACGCTTTTTGACTCGATTTGGAACCAAATGAAGGATATAAGAGGGGCGGGGAGGGGGGTTGCTCATGCACTCGTCTTTAACGATACTAGCATATTGACCTTCATTTTGGACCCTCATAGTTCGCACACTTCGCAGTGATCATTTTATAGATACCAAGGGTATTACAGTGGAACTCGGATTCAACGAATTTGGATTCAACGAAAACTCGGATTCATCGAAAGGAGGTGGATTCCTCCCTTTTTAAAATTCTATTAATTATTTTTTATTCATAAAAATCAATAAAAAATAACTTGGATCCAACAAACACATACAAGAGGCTGCTCGGATTCAACGAAGTCTCTTGCAGGGTGATTACACAGTCCCCGCTAACGTGGCTTCTGTCATTTTCTTCCCTCAACGAGCCTTATTTATTCCTGGAAATCATCCAGGGCACGTTCACTGTGAACCATTATTCGCTGAGCCTGTTGTTTACATCATATGCGACCAATGAGCAGCTTTCTTTAATACCAACACACAGGATGTTGGCACGTGTCTTAGTGTGTGTGTGTGTGTGTGTGTGTGTGTGTGTGTGTGTGTGTCGGGGTAGGACGGGCGGCCTACACAAGTGTGACGTGTGTTTACGTGTGTTGTGGGGGAGGGGACACAATTTTAGCGGTCTGGGTCTGGAATGTCAGTAAAGATACAAACGTGTCAGCAGTCATTTTTTTTTCTCAACTACTGATCAAGATTGCAAAGTTAAATTTTTTTTTTTTTACCTAGGTCTGCTTTGTGAATTGCGCGCTGGTCTGTGAAATCAAACGTTGTCGTATGCTAGGCTGTACACAGCAGCTCAACTCGTTCATACACGACACAGGCATGCATTTGAACGAATCAGCCCTTTTGCGCCATGTGTGTATGGTAGAGTTCAGTATATTTTCCTGGAATTTTCCAGCATTTCTTCAGTATGGCATAAAAAAACACATAATTATTTTTGATTTAGGAAGTCGAAAAGGGGCAAAAAAAGCAGGCATTTCAGAGTACCACTTGTAACTTCCATGATAATATTAATTACTTGCTCGGCGCTTGTAATTATCTACACAAAAACCTCATGTTTGCGATAACGAACGCTCGAATTCAACGAAACTGAAGATCAGGCCTGACGACTTCATTGAATCGGAGTTCCACTGTAATAGTTCAAGTCTGCGGTGCGGTTTCGTGCGGGTCACCGTGACTTCATTGCGCAAAAGACGCTCTTAATCTTAATTCTTAATTTTTAGAATGTTTTTCATTCACATGACTCACCTCTCCTTCGGCGTAGACGTCGTGCTTGTAGCTATTGGAGGTCACGATAGGGGTCACTAACGCTCTGGACTTCCAATTGTCCGCGTCTTGACCGCTGCGAATGGCTAGCGTAGCCAGGCCCAAGGTCTCTTCACAATGTTTCTTAGCAGGCTTTGAGTCTTCTTCCATACTGGTCTATGTGAGGTTGGAGGGAGAATAATATTTAGGTTGGGAATTAATTGATTGTCGGGGACTGGCCTTTGAGGAAACACACACACACACACACACACACACACACACACACACACACACACACATGCACACAAAAACACACACAAACACACCCACACATGCAGATAGATAGATAGATAGATAGATAGATAGATAGATAGATAGATAGATAGATAGA